TTAATACATTTAAAAGAAAAAGTGTAGAATTCTTTTAAAAATTTTAAACAAAATTTTACCCAAAAAAAAAAATAAAAAAATATTATGAGCAAAACTATTGAATTCGAGAACAATTTCCAAAATACATTGTGGTCTGAGCTTCTAGGTTGTGTTGTCACTTAGTATGTCTTCGTCTATCGTCGTATGCCGTGGTATGTCCTTCTATTCTATATTACAATGTGTCCTGTTCAACCTTATCGTATTGTATAATGTTTTGTGCCGTGATGTGTCTTTCACTGTATTGCTTTTTCCCTATATGCCTCTTGTCTATCGTGGGACAGATCACTCGATATCGGCTAAGAATAAAAAAAACGAATTAAAATTATACAATTCCAAATTATAGAGATATTTAAATGTTAGATAAAATGTATCACGTTATTTTTTTTAATACATTTAAAAAAAACGCATAGAATGCTTACAAAAAGTTTAAACAAAATATTTGAAAAAAAAACGAAAAAATTGTACTTGGTGGTTTGACTGTGATATATTGTATCTTGGTTTCGTCATTTTCAATTTTTCAATGCTTTAAGAAATATAAGATGCGGAAATTTAGCTTACAAATTATAAAGAAAAAAAAAAGAAGTAATACGAAAGCATTAAAAATTTTAGAGATATTAAAAAGTTAGATAAAATAAATCCGGTTTTTATTTGTTACACGTTAAAAAGAAATATCTAGAATTCTTATAAAAATTTTTAACGAAATACTACAAAAAAAAAGTAAATGATATGTAGAGTATGGTATATTGTACATTGGTATCGCCATTTGTAACTGTAACCCTATTTAAAAAAAAGATTAGAAGTGGAAACTTACCGTACAAGCTAAAAATAAAAAAAAAAAGAATTAAAATTTAAGAATTTAAAATTATAGAAATATTTAAATGTTGGATAAAATATAGCAGGTTTTTTTTTTGTAATATATTAAAAATAAAATGTAACGAATTCTTAGAAAAAAATTTTTAACAAAATAATACAAAAAAAAATATTATCAGAAAAAAATTATTGAATTCGTTATCAAATTGGAAAATACGCTGTGATCTGTCCTTCTGTGTTGTGTTATCACTTAGTATGTCTTCGTCTATCGTTGTATGCCGTGGTATGTCCTTCTTTAATATATTATAATGTGTCGTGATCAGCCTTATCGTATTGCCTTATGTATTATGCCGTGATGTGTCCTTCTCTCTAACGTTCTTCCACTATATGCCTGTCGTCTCTGGTGGGACAGATCACTCGATATCGCTTTTGCCTATAAATAGGCCCGCTTTTTTCATAATGCATTCATTCGAAGATAAACACAACAGCGATAACATCAATTCAACTTCTACAATAACAACAGCTCTTACTTACATATATTTTATTAAGGTTAGTTAACGTTTCTTTTTATGGATTTTCACCTTTTTAAATTTCGTATGTATTTATATACATGGTAGAAATTTAAATATAGTAATAAATACTATAATATTGAAAACTTTCTCGATAATAATATTTGAAGATTATACTACCTGAAGCGGAGTTTTCTGAAATTCTTACTTTTAGTATTACTTAGTAGGAGAATTCATCTACTTGAGAGAATAACTTATATCATCAGCAATTGATATGTTTAAGCTCATTGCACTTATCGAAACCGGTCTTGCTAGCTACATGATTGATACCAACTGAATTAAAACGCACACACAGCCCAAAGTTAGTGCTACCCTTAATATTTCCTTGTCTTTACTATTTTTTTTTTTCTTGGGCAAATTTGTTGTCACATGTAATAGCTAATTGTCGATCGTGTCAGTTAGTTGTGCTAGTTTATTGTTGTTTCTGTTTCTTGTAATTTGTTGAGACTAATGATAAGATATTGTCATCGAAGACAATTTATTGCCCTTTGCGATAAATTGTTGTCGTCTACTATGCATTGTTGTGGTTCATTATATTTAAACATTGCATCTATTCTCCAACATCCTCATCTGGTATATTGAATATTTTAGTGGAAGTTTATTCTAAATTTTTTTTCTACACAATTTCAAAATATTTTTTTTTCGATTTCATATTAGTTTTAGAATTACGTGGCGTCATTGATTTAATGAAAAAATGGGAACGATTAGTCATCCAACAACTTATAAGCAAAAAGTAAGATATTATTTAAAAAGAAAAAAAATTATTCTACAGAAAAAAAAAAATTATTTTTTTTAAGCATAATAAAATTAATGCAACGAATACAAATGAAACTCATTGTTTTACGAATGTTAGCGACCATATGGAATGGAAAGATAGTATTGAATATGGTAATGTGCATAATACTAAAATGAAAGAAAAGGTAAATAATTTTAAATCAAAGAATATTTTTTTTTTGTTTTTTTATTTTCAAGTCAGTAGACGAAAAAAAAATATCTCAAAAATTTACACAATTATCTATCACAACAAATACTGAACAGCCACTAACAGTTCAAGATATTATAGGTGAAATCGATAAAATCCCAAACTTTTTATCAAAACGAAGTAAACCTTTCAAAGCTATCATCAATGAAGTTTTATCAACAACAGCCATAATAAGAACAAATGAAATGATAGAGCAATTACGTCAAATAGGCATTTTCACATATAAAAAAATATTTATTCGAATTCATCATGGTTTATGGTTCAGTTATTTCAAAGCAGGCACGGGTCAATTGATTAGTCAAGTGGAAGGACAATTAGATTATTCAACAAATTTACCCATATGGCCAAAAGAAATCAATGCATTAGTACAAAAACCAACACATATAAATAATAAAAATGAAAATGATTTTTATATGAATTTTATTAATGATCGTTTACGTGTACTTGATAATAAATTAAAAGAATATGAATATGAATTAATTAAGAGAATCAATAGTATTTCTGGCTATTCATTACAAGTACAACATTTAATTGAAACATATGTTGAACAAAACCTATCTACACTACGTTTGGAAATAGAACATAAAATTCAACTTATTCATTATGATTATCATATTCAAGCATTAAAATTAGAATATTATCGTCATCATCCAAATGAATATCAAGTATCGATAGATAAATAAAATTTGTTCACAGTTTTCTCAATACATGAATTTTTTCTCTTTTTTTTTTTTAGAAACGAATAATGAAACAACTTTGTTGTAGTAAATATGAACAAGAACTTACAAAACAAGAATTCGATTTACTTCAACAAAAAATTAATTATTATAATTCACCGTGTCAATCATTTGAATGTTCATCTATATCACAATCAGAATTAATTGATT